CCTCTGGAAGCATCTGGCCTCTTGAGGATGGTTTCCTCATCTATCATGAGGGGTAAGGATGCTGCCTGCCCCGCTCGCTATCATCCCCGGGCTCTATGCAAACCCTGTTTTCAGAGGGTTTCCCTTGTGTTGGGGGCTCCATGTAGGTGATCCCTGGCCCTCCTATCTTAACTCAGGAAAGGGGAAGTGACTGGTGCAAGCACAAAGGAGAAGGTGACTTTTCCCTACTCCTGGCCATGGAGAGGGAGCTCGGGCAGCCTGTGCATCTGCGGACATCGGCTGCCCAGCCCCTGCCCTGGGAAGTGTCTTTCCTGCCTCCGCTGATCAGGATCCTGGGCTGGGGTTGGCAGGGGCGGGGGGGAGAGTGGAATCTGTGGGCCTGACAACCCCCCCCCCCATGACTCAGAAAGCTTCAGATTCTCCAGCGATTTCCCAATCTGTTCAGGGTGAGGAGAGGAGGCCTGGCAGGAAAGTGTGGGAATTGCACAACGAGGCTACCTAGGCGTTGAGCCAGGAGCCCTTGCTTCTCATCCTCATCACCCCTATGTGACTGGATGAATTTGGGGACCTGGCCTTTAGTCTCCTCATCTGTTCACTGGGGAACAAAAGGAATGACCCTCCCAGCCCTGGGGCACTGTGGCTTTGTGAGCTTGTCTGAAAACTCTCACCCTGCAACCCCCTCCCCCAGGGATTCTGGGAAAGAGAGTGTGGAATCCATCTTACTGCCACTTCCTGATGCCCCCCCCCAAGACCCCCTAGGGACAGGATTATGGCCAAGCCCAAAGCTGGCACTTGACTACCACTCCCAAGGAGGAAGAGGAAGTTCTCAGTCCCAAGGGGCACCCCCAGCTCCCCCGCCCCCCACTCCCAGGCCTCAGAGATCTGTACCCAGCTGATAGGGGGAGTGGGGAATCCACGGGGAGGGAGAGACCAAGGGTAGTGGCAAACAAAAGGATGGGAGGAGCAGGGGCTCTAACAATAAAATAAAAGGGAAGCTGGTGCCCAGCTGGGAAATTCCTTAATGACACGGTTCTTTCCAGAGGGCAGGAATTCCTAAAATGAGAAAGAGGGGAGGGGGTGAGTCCCCAGTATTTGCTCTTCACCAGCAACAGCCCCCCCAACCCTCACCCGACGGCAGACCCAGAGAAACGACGACGCTGAGGAAGGACAAGTCTCCAGCGACTGAGATCAAGCCTGAGCTGTCGGGGTCCGGACCTGGTGTGACCCGAAACCTGTTCGGCCCAACCCCAGTCCCAGAAAGGGAAAGTGCTCCAGTGGGAGTCCTGCAGCCTGGTGTGTGACCTCGGGGGAGTTGCAGGTCGCTTCACCTTTCTGAGCCATAGTCCCCTTTCTAGCAAGGCTTGATAATGAGAGGGACTGCCAGGCACCCAGCAAACGTGCTTTTTGTCAACAGCTGTCCTTCCCTGCACCCACTTCCCCTTAGGGCGCCTCTTCCAGCAGGGCCCCTTCTCCGGGCCTCCCTGAGTGGGAACGCTCTACCCAGAGGGAGCAATCCTCCCGCGGCCCAGGGAGCTAGGGTGGGACGGTCCCCGGGACCCCGCGGGCCTACAGTCGGGCGAGCTGGGGTGGGTGCCGCTCTGTGACGCGGGCAAGGGGTCCCGAGCTCGGAGCCCCTTCCAGCCAGCCAATCAGCAGCGGCCGTCGGACAATGGGCCGCCCTGGGTGCGGTTCCCCGCGCCCCACAGACCGCGGCGACGCTCGGCCAGCCGCGCCACCCCGCCCGGGCCGGTGGCAAGGACTGACACCCCCGCTCCCCTCGGCGGGGCGCGCGCGACTCCAGGCTCGGGGACGTAGGCAACCCCGGGTCGCACTCTGCCTTGGCCTCCGCCCGCGGGTTTTCCGCGGCTGCCGCGGGCGGGGCGAGCGGGCGGCCGCGCGGGGGCGGAGTCTGCGACTATTTCAGGCGGCGCCAGGCTCTGCTGGGACAGAGGCGGCCCGGCCCGGACACAGTAAGTGACCTCCGCCCGCGCCGCGTCTGTCCCCCGCCGCTCCGCGCGGCTGCCTGCCCGCCTCCACCCCGGGGTCCCGGCCGGCTACCCCGACGGAGCGGCCGGCACGGCCTGACCGAGGGGGCACAACGCTCCGAGGGCCCCAGGCCTCCGGCAGCCCCACTTCTAGGGAAACTGAGGCCGCTGCGGCGCGCCAGGGTGCAGGGGGCCCGGGTTTGGTACTGCCACCTGGGCCTCGGTCCTGCAAAGGGCAGGGAGGGAGGAGTGTGGGGGAAGGCGCAGGGGTCTCTGCTCCTTTTGCAGAAGGCTGGCTGGCCAAGTTACTTTGCTGCCTGTGTCAGGGTGTCCTCACTGCGGGGGTGGCTATGCCCTCCCTTTCCCGGCCAGGACAGAGGAGCCAGGCGCAGAGGCCACGGGAGGCTTTGTGGGCCTCAGCCCTGACCCAGGAAGGAGCATGGGGGTGTGCGGTGCCTGAGGAGAAGCTGGGAGGTCAGGAGAGGGTGCCACTGTGGGGCCACAGGCTGTGGTCACATGATACGACTGAGCAGGCCCCTTGTGTCAGTGTGCCCAGCCTAGAGCCCAGGCTTGAAGGAATGCCTTTCCTGCCCTCTTCTGCTCTACCCCGGTGCTGAGCTTGGCTTGATGGACACAGGGACACAGGACACGTACCCTTACGAAGGCTGGCTAGGCGCCAGCACGGGGCTGCAAAGTTTTGCCGCTTCCTGCAGCAATACTGTGGGGTGGGGATCTTCATGCCCATTTCACAGATGGAGGTAGGGAGGTGTTGTCCACATGCTAGTGAGTGGTCCAGCTGATCCCCCTGCCGCTTCTCTTTCCATTGCACCAGCTGCCTCTGAAAATCAAGGCCTGGGATGGAGCCAAGGGGGCCGCTGCAGGACCTGGAAGGGTGAGGAGGATTTTGTACCAGAGGCAAGGAGGCAGCGATGTTATATGGGGACCGGCAGGAGCCAGGTCTGAGGTCAGATAGAGCCTAGCACGCGTGTGTGTGTGTGTGTGTGTGTGTGTGCGCGCGCGTGCGCGCAGAGGTGAGGCTGGTGGGTCAGGGTGGCCCTCTCCCTCACCCTAGCTGGAGAGCAGAGGTGGGGTCTGCTCAGTCAGGGTGGTGCTGAGCGGCCCCAGCCAGTGGCCGGACCAGCTCCTGTGGGTATGTGGCGTGACAACGGGATGGATTAGGAGAGGGGGCTTGGCCAGTGGGTGGGCAGGGCAGAAGAAGGCCTAGTGGCCTTGCTCTTCGGCTCCCCGAGCACCCCTCACTTGGCCCTGGAGTGGAACTCTCAGCCCAAGTGGCACAGGAGAGGCGCGTGAGGTCCAGCGGTGTTGGACTCTGCTGAGGGCATTTGGTGAAGCCATTTGGGAGAAACTCGGGCTTCCTGCCCCCCAGGCGGCTCTGGCCAAACTCAGGGGTTGTGATGAGGCCCAGGATAGTCAGGCTGGTGGGGAGGGAGTAGGGGCTGTGGGAAGAGTCTGATAGACCTAATCCACGCCTGCTATGTGCTTGGGGCAAGCACCTCCCAACCCCCTTCCCTGCCTCAATTTCTCCTGGATGATGGATCATCCCATCTGCCTAGCGGGCTGTTGCAGAGGTGAATCAAAGTCATAGTGTTGCACGAGTCGCAACTCACTGTACTTACTCTTGGGCGTGTGTGGGCGGGGCACGCGCTATGGTCCTGGACGGCCCCAGTCATCAGGGAAGCCTGACCCTATCCGCTCCCCACTGTCAGCCCTGCCTTCCTCCTCTCTCCTAGGCCCAGCCCTGTTCCCCATTCACTGGTCCTGGCCTTGCTTTGATTTTGGCCATGGTGCTGGGGAGGGTGCTGCTGGGCACAAGGGGTCCTGCATCTCCGAATGCAGCCTGCAAGGCGGTGGGGGACATGGAGGCAGGAGGACCCAGCACCGGGTGATCTGAGTTTCAAGCCTAAGCTGTCAACCATAGGGACATTTCCCTGGATCAGTTTTGTGCAATGAGGATAATACACGACCACCAACACCACCCCCGGAAGGGAAGGAGGAAGCGATGGGATGGGCACCAGGGAGGGCACAGAAAGTGGAAGCCTTTGTGATGATGATGTCACCCCATTTGGGAGCAGCCAGGATGAAACGGGAGCCAGGAAGCCTGGTTCCTGGCCTGAGTTACTGGGTGACCTCAGGCAGCTCGGTGTCTTCTTGGACCCCTTGTCCCTGCTGACATGTGAAAGTCTTCAAGGTCCTTTCCCACCCCTTGAAGTTTGGGAGGGCACTATGATCTCTAGACCTGAGCCCCAAGACCAGGGTAGGGGGTCGCACTCTGCTTCCCAGAGTTGCAGCCGGAGCAGCCACGTTTCTGCTCGAATCGTCCCTCGGTGGCTCCACGTAGACAAGAGAGGAACCGGGCGAGAGGGAGTCTGGGGCGGGGAGGATGGAGCCGCCTCTGGCGCTGTGACCTTTCTGGACCTCGGTCCTTGCTCTGTGCGGTGGGACGGTACTGTGCTCTGCCACCTCTCCCAGGGTCTCAAGGGATGCGGGATGGAGCTCATGCCCTCCAGTCCTTTCTCCTTGCCCAGAGGGTGGGCTGCCAAGGAAGGATTTGTCAAAATGAAGTGAAGGCCCCCTCCATCTGGGAGACTTGGCATCTCCAGATCCTTCCCTGCTTCTAGCGATTTGAGGAGGCACGGGGGTACTGGAAGAGGAGTTGTGGGTGCTGAGAAACTGGTGTCTGGGGAGGGAGCTGAGCTGTGGGTGCCCCTCTGGGCCAGGAGAGAGCCAGCCCCTGCCGGCCGTCTGGTGAGGAGAGATGGAGCATGCCTGTTGCTGCCCGCCGTGGCTGTGTCCTCGGGCCTGTCGACCGCAGCCACTCTTTCATTCCCTCTCCCCTTTGCCCATCCACAGGCCTGAGCCCGGGTAATGCTGAAGATGATGACTTTCTTCCAAGACCTTCCAGGCCAGCAGACGGTGCCAGGGGTTCTTGTTCTTGACTTCCCCGGAAGTTCCCCGAAGTTGCTCTCCACCTCCGAGGTGGAATCCGAGGCCTCCATGTCAGAGGCCTCTTCTGAAGACTTGGTGCCACCCCTGGAGCCCAAGGCAGCCCCCGAGAGGGACAAGGAAGAGGCGAAAAAGAAGAAGAAGAGGCCAAAAGGACTGGCCAACATGTTCAGTGTCTTCACTAAAGGGAGGAAGAAGAAAGGTCAGCCCAGCTCAGCAGAGCCAGAGCGCGACCTGGAGTCCCAGCCTGAGTCCAGCCGCCCGCCGCCCACAGGTAGGCTGGGACCCCAGGCGGGGTGGGGATCCGGGATCAGAGCTGGCGGGGGGCCTGGGCAGGGCTGGGGCTCATCCCAGGGAATGGCCCACTCACCCCGGACACAGGCAGGGCAGCAGAGATGGGCTTGGCCGTGAGCCAAGGGCCGTTGTGCCCCCTAATCCTGGGGCAACCGGGCTTCAGTCCGGTCGGGGGCACCGACGGACCCCTTAGAGCGCATCCCTTCACCTCTCGGGCGCGCGGCCTCCCCTCCCGGGGGGGGGATGGGGGGGGCGGCGCGGGGGCGCCGTCGGGCAGGCGGCGCTGACCCCGTGCTGTCCCGGCCGCAGTGGAGGAGCTCAAGGCGGACCTGGAGCGCGGACGGCTGGAGGCGGCGCGGCCGCTGCTGGCGCTGGAGCGGGAGCTGCAGGCGGCGGCGGCGACGGGCGGCGAGAGCGCCGAGGAGCTGGTGCGGCGCCAGAGCAAGGTGGAGGCGCTGTACGTGCTGCTGCGCGACCAGGTGCTCGGCCTGCTGCGGCGGCCGCTGGACGTGGCGCCCGAGCGGCTGCGCCAGGCCCTGGCCGTGCTGGTGGAGCAGGAGCGCGAAGACCGCCGGGCGGCGGCGGCGGCGGAGGCGGCGGCGGGGCCCGGGGCCT